TTCAGTTAAGAATATAGAGCAGATTATATCATTTATATTAAAATACAAAAAATAATTTATTTGTTTTATTCATTTAACATTGAAAAAGTAGAACGACGATTCTTATTTTTCGATATAAAATCGTTTAAAAGTTTATCGATATCGATTTTTTCCGCAATTTCCCTATGTACATGTAATATAGCTATGCTATTCATTCTTTGTTGTAAGTTCCGACGAAGGCAGCCTGCCTTAGGCTGTAGCCAGGTATATTGAGGGGACAAGGGAGACCATTCACACGGACATGGCACACCGACAAACACAAGACACAAGTAAGGACGTAAGTGTAGGAATTCTGAAAGGTCCAACGATTAGTGCGACGCGAATGTCGCCAGAGGCCAGCGCTAGGCGTTTCCATGTGACACGCGCCCAAACGCGCTGACTGGAGCTGGATTTTTCTAGTTTTTTTTGCGACTATCTTACATTTATAACTTTACTGGTGAAACATCGTGAAAAACAAAATGCATGTCTACAAAGTGTTAACATGTGGAACACAAACACATTGTATCTTGGTGTCGAGGGTGTGGAATTTCCACATGGTCCGCGATCATGGTGTGGACTTCGTCCACACCATCCACACAAAAGTCGCCGGCCCTGGTCGGCAAGATGCCAATTCTCATTGGTTGGTGGGCGTTACCATGCGCGTGAGCATACCCTTGTCTTTATACCATGATCGTAGCAAACAAGTTAGTTGAGGTACCGCCATTCGTAAGTTAATAAGGAGTAAGTTAATAAATACATTCGCAAATTACTTGAACTCTGTAAACAATATTAGTGCAACAGGATGTCGAGTGAAATGGAAATAGCTAAGCTTAAAAAACAGAGTAATAAAGGCTGGATTCACACGAATCGAAAATTTTTTTGAAGGATAGATCAAAATACAGTTGACGTCGAAGAAGTAAAATTAAGGTTAAACAAATTAGGAGAATTACACGCCGCGTTAGAAGAGATTCTGATAAAATTGTCGAGTCATGACGAAAGTTTAACAGACGAAGTAGTACAACAACATATAGCAGAATACGAAGAGAGATGCGTGTATTTAAGGTTAAAGGATGATAGATTAATTAAGAGTCGTGTGAGGCAAGCCGTATCGAATGATGACTTAGAAACGAACAACGAAGAAGTTCAAACAACGCGAAGGCCGATTAATGGAAATACAATTCGGTTGCCAAAAATAGATTTACCCACGTTCTCAGGAGCCTACGAAGACTGGCATCCATTTCACGACACCTTTTGTTCGCTAATACACTCGAATGATTCACTGAATGTTGTGCAAAAATTTCACTACTCAAAGTCAGCGTTAAAAGGTGAGGCGGCGAAGGTCATAGCGTCTTTGGAAATCTCGGCGGTCAATTACACGGATGCATGGAATAGATTAAAAGAGAGATTTGAAAACGAAAGAGTAGCGATACAAAATCCCATAAAAGCCATTTTCGAATTGCTTGCACTGAAACAAGAAAATGGTGTCGCGTTAATAACGATCTAATGGTATGTATTACTTTTTTTAAAAAAAGGTAAGAAAAGCTCTAAGCGTTGGTGAAACTGGCCCAAATGGTGCTTCTCGTAAAGAATCACCATTTGGGCTAGCTTCTCCAACGCCAATTACTTAATCGGCCGTGAAACTGATAACTAATTATGTTTGCTGTTTAGTAGAACTAATGATATGTATCATTTGTATAAAAGATTTGATATCAACAATTGGCACCAAGTCAAATTCAATGTAATTTGAACAAATTAAATTTTACCATTTTATTCCTCCCAAAGAAAAAATAATTTATTTAACTCTAATGATATGTATTATATTCGTATAATTGATATCAACAAAATTGACGCCAAGTTAAATTTATCAAAATTTTATCAAAATTTCATCAACAAAATTTTATGTATTATTCCTATAAAAGATTTGATATCAAGAACTGGTGCCAAATTAAATCCCACTTTATACCGTGCCAAATTAAATAAATAATGAATATTAATCTAATGGTATGTATTATTTGTACGACATGATATCAACAACTGTGCGCCAAGTTAAATTCTACTATCAAAATGAAAAGTAAAACTCGAATGATACACTATCTTTATTTATTATTTACTTAATCCAAATAGTACTATCTTTAATTTTTATACAATGAAACCTAAGTATACGTATACTTATTGAAGTATCTTCCTATTCCAATCCAAATGGTTTAAATTCCTCTTAAATAAAATTATTATATTTCATTCAAAGACATTTCCTCTTCCAACTGAAGTAGTGGTTATTTAATTCTCCTTCAAAATATTATACAAAACATCACAAACTTGCGTTACCTTGTTCAATTTAAGTGTTATCACAAAAATTAAAGAATTAACCGTATAAAATGAAAAAATTTAATTTTTTACTTAATGCAAATGGTACTATCTTTAATGTTTATACAATGAAACCTAAGTATACGTATAATTATTGAAGAATCTTCCTATTCCAATCCAAATGGTTTAAATTCCTCTTAAATGAAATCAATATATCACAATTCATTCAAAGACATTTCCTCTTCCAACTAAAGTAGTGGTTATTTAATTCTCCTTCAAAATATTATACAAAACATCACGAACTTGCGTTACCTTGCTCAATTTAAATGTATTACTACAAAAATTAAAGAATTAACCGTATAAAATGAAAAAATTTAATTTAAAAATAGAAAAATTTTTCATGTAAAAACACT